GTTTAACATGATGCTCTCCAAATCCATCCATTTTCCTGCAAATAACATAATTTTATTCTTCAACCATTTATCCACTGATGGACTCCTAGGCTTATTACATAACTTAGCTAGTTGTGAATTGCCCTCTTATAAGCATGGGTACACACGTATCACTATAGTATGCTAACTTTAATTCTTTTGGATAAATATGGAGGAGTGGTATAACTGGGTCACACAGTGGTTCCATCTGTAGTCTTGTGAGAAAACTCCACACTGATTTCCAAAGTTGTACTAATTTACATCCTCACCAACAGTGTATAAGTGTTGCTTTTCCTGGATATCCTTAACAGTATTTATCATTATTTATATTATTGATGATTAACTTGAGTGAGGTGAAATCTTATTGTAGTTTTGATTTGTATTTCCCTGGTTGCTAAAGATGTTGAACATTTTTTCCACATATTTATTGGCCATTTCTATGGCTTCTTTTAAGAAGTTTAGTTCATTTGCCCATTTGTTGATTGGGTTGTTCTGTTGGCAGTAAGTTTCTGAGATCTTTATGTATTCTTGGTATTAATCCTCCATCAGAAGAGTAGCTGGCAAGGATTTTTCTCCCATTCTGGGGGCTCTCTCTTAGTTCACTTGTTTCCTTTTCTGTCATAAGATTGTTTGTTTTTAATGGGATGCCATGCACATATTGATTCTTGGTTTTATTTCTTGGGTTTTAGGAATCCTATTGAGGAAGTTGTCACCTCTTCCTATATGTTGGACTTCTGCAGAACCCTTTGTTTTCTTCTAGAATTTGCAAAGTGTCTGGTCTAATTCCTAGGCCTTTAATCTATCTTGAGTTGACTTTTGCAAGGTGAAAGATAGGGATCAAGTTCATTCTTCTACATTTGGATTTACAGTTTTCCCAACACTATTGGTTAAAAAAAAATAAAATAAACTCTGTGTTTTATTCTCTGTTATGTTTTGGCACCTTTGTCAAGAATTAGAAAACTATGTTTGTCATCTAATTCATGTAGGTTCGTGTCTGTGTGTTTCTTCTACTCTGTGTGGGTTTGTCTCTGTGTTTTCTATTCTATTCCATTGATCTATGTGTCTGTTTTTATGCCCATACCATGAACAGCTATTTTTAAATTACCGAAGAAAGCCAAAACATCAGACAAGCATAATTAACATTTTAAGGTTTTTTTTTTTTGGTAAAGAATTCCAAAAAGTTATTGTACTAACAACATAGAAAGCCACAGACATTGTATCTTAAACATTTAACAGAGATAAATATAATCTTTATATTTAGCAACTGAGGCAAAAACATGTTAATGACTTTAAAGAAATCTTTACTTTTATCTTACCAAACTTAAATTAACTCATTTGTCAAAGTTAGGTGAACTAAATGCATTCAGGCTAATGTAACAGCTTGAATTTATATAAATGTTCATTTATTCTTAGATCTATTTAAATGGCATTTCTTGGATTTTTTTATCATGTAAATATATCTTATAATATGTACCTGAAGGTAGCACACATAAACATACCCACATAATCCAAAATCATATAATCTTTATGCTAAAAATTTTGTCTAAAGCAGAATATTATAACAAAACAAATTCAATTTATAAAAAGAAATTTGAATCCAAATTACATTTATGACAACATGAAACAATTTAAGACCTCCTAAATTAATGTCTTATGTAAGCCTTAGAATTAAATTTTTAGTCAAAGTTATTTGGATTTTTTAGGCTATGCTGTTCTAAAAAGCATCCTTATTTTGGTTAATTGCCATAAAATTGAACATAAGAGCTATCCTCCCATCTTTTCAACTTCTAACAATAGAGTCTAGCTGGAACATGGTTCTGTAACTTGTAGAACCATATTCTGGCCTCTAAGGAGATGTTAAGTAATTTGCAGAGACAATAGGAATGATGGCTTGAGGACGTCTTGGGGATTTGCAAGACCATACCTATTGCAGGCTAAAGAATGTGGAAAGGAAATTTTGTTTGAGAAGAGATCCTGGGGGCACCCTGCTTGCAAGAGGAGGGGAGCTAGGAATTATTTCACTGTGTTCAGCTGCCCAGCCACTCAGAAGCTGTAGCAGCCGTGATCCAGGGAGCCCAGCATCTGCAGGGGCTGGTGGAAGACCTTGGCATTATCCCTGTGGTGCTGAATTAGTAGGAATTTGGGATGCAGGAGTTAAGAGGCATAGAGGCTTCCACAGAGATTTCAAAGGAAGGCTTGGGAGACCAGGCAAAATGTAGCAAAGTTAGAGTCCCTGTGGGCTGCTCCTGAGACAGTGATGTGTGGGGCTGTGAAGGTGAAGCCATAATTAGAATAGAGACCCCAGGAATTAAGAGATGTCAGTAACATGGTCTGGCTACTGAGGGAGGCTGCTGGCTTCAGAGAAAGCCAAGATAAGAGAGAAGCCATTAAGGCTGCAACTAACAAGGTCAACAGAGTAGGGCTGTTAAAGCCCTTCAGAGGGCGCATCTCACCACCGTGTGTTCTAGATGCTGTATGTGGAGTTTTCCACTTGCCTGCCTGGGTTTTTGTCATGTTTGGGTTCTCTTTCTTCTTTCTGTGCCCTTTTTCCTCCATTTGGGAATGGGAATGTTTACTTTGTGATGTTGTATATTGGATATATGTGACTTGCTCTTGACCATCACGGGAACTCACAGCCAAGAGTTTGCCTAGAGTCTAAGATGAAATATTAGACTTGAACTTTTGGGCAATACTGAAACTGTTAAAACTACAGAGATTCTTGGAGGTGGATTTTGCATTGTGAGATGGACAAGATATTTTAGGAGCCAGGAACAGCTTATTATGGTTTGCACATGAGGTGTCTCCCAAATCTCCTGTGGTAATGCAGGAATGTTCAAAGGTAAAATGATTGAAAAGTGTGATCTAATCAGTCCATCCTAGTTTAGATGTACTCAGTAGTAACTGTATGCAGGTAGGCATGTCTAGAGAATATAGGTCACTAGAGACATGCCCTAGAAGAATTTATCTTTCTTGTGGCCCTTTCTCCCATCCCGTTTTCTCACCACAATGAATGAATTAACACCATTACACACTTCCACCATGATGTTCTGCCTCATCTTGGGCCCAGAGCAATGGAGTCAGCCCACCATAAACTAAAGCTGCAAAACTCTGAGCTATAATAAACTTCTTCCGCTAAGTTGTACTTGTTAGGTATTTTAGTCACAGCAATGAAAGTCTGACTAACATAATGGGCATTCCACAAACTTATCTTCAGTTTATCCCACATAATAGCCGAAGGTGCATTTTATTATTATTTTACAGCTGAAGATACACTGAGGTTTCTAAAGTAACTTTAAGGGATGGCCCCATCATTCAAATTCATTTCTATTCCAAACAAAAGTCTTGGTTTTATTTTCCATGTTATTGTTTTTAAAAATAAACATGGCAATGTTTCAGTGAATTATAAAATATAGTAAGTTTTAAAAAGGAAGAGAATAAAAGTATCAGAATGAATTACGTGTGGAAAATGTAGGTATATGTTCTGCGTATGAGTGTATGCACATGTTTACACTCATTTAGGCATTTAAAATTGAAAGAAATTCATTTTTTGGGTCCAGGCAAAGAAAGATGATAACCTTGCTCTGTTCCAAGTGGCGTGAGATGTGGATAATAGCATAGAACCAGAAAATGTAACCCAATGGCTCCATCAAAGAACATAACTAGTTCAATCACGAGTGCAAACAGAAAGACAAGACTCATTGAAATTAGGAAACCCAAAGCTAGGACTCAGGGAGACATAGTTAGATTATCTCCCTAAATTGCACACCATTTAGACAACATTCAAATTTTTCTTGAAAATATTTGATGATCTGAACAAAAACATTTCTAGTGAGCCAATGAAGTTTTTTTTTTCTTTTGCTACAAAATGCGTTTATTTCCAGACAGATAAAATTCTCCAACTGCATAAGTGGTTATACAATATAAGGCCCATCTTTGCTAGAGGCCCTGTTTACAAGATCCATTTCTGATTATCAAACTGTATGTCAAACAAACTTCTTTGTCTCTTAAAACATAATTAAATAAACTGCTAATGCATAAGCCATACATCTGGTCACTGAAGTGACTGGCGTGCAATTCTTCACTGTTGAGTCCGGAGTGATATTGGCGTGATCAGGTTCCACAGGTCAGCAGGCAGCAGGCATCTGAGGTTGGCCTGCTGACCCTGCTGTTGGGGCAGGGACCCTTCTTTGAAGAAGAGGGCCATGTGCAGACAAAAAAGTGTGACATATGTACTGTGGAGAGGCATTTCACAGAATGCAATCATCATTCAGGTAAATTAGTGGAACCCAGAGTGAATGGAAGCTTCACGAAGGCAAATCTACTGCTTACGCTACTGTGGATCATGGCACCTTTTCACTGGACACTCAATAAGTATCTAATAAATGAAAGTAAGGGTAAGAGAATACGCTGTGGCAGTTGTCTTGGGGCCCAACATTGGGCTTTTCATTGGGAGTTTCACGGATACCCATTTTCTTTATTTTTCCTCAGAGTGAATTGTTCTGTTTGGAAAGCTGCTCATTTCCTTGAAAAGACCTTTCGCTCCTTCACTAGCATTAGAGTCTTCCTGCAGACTGCAATCTTAGGGGCTGGGCAGCTTAAAGAAGAGCACAGAGTGGTCCACAGAAATTCTCCATTTGTCTTTTGAAGTAAAAAGCCTCTTTGGCTCAGAATTTCTAGGACCTAGTTTATTTCTTCATTACTTCTCACCTTTGGGTCATGTTAACATCCCAAGCCTCAAACAGCCTCGGAAACTCACCGGCCGAGTGGAACAATCTCATCATAAAAATCTCATTTCGGTATCAACTACCTCCAGAACCACAGTTCCCTCGGGACTTGAGATAGTTGCTCTGTTGAAGTTCTGTCCTTCACAGAGTTGTGAACATTCGCTTCTTGAAGGTAAGCTTGGTGTTCTAAGGCAGATGCTGGGGAGTCCCCACAAAGGATATTCCTGGAAAAGTGTCAGTTTCCTCACACCATCTCTCTTTCCCTCCCCATAGGGCTAAGGTTGCAATTCTGGAGACACATAGGAAAAGTTTCTAAACTCATCCTGATTAATCATAGGCAGGTGTCCCTCATCAATGGGAGTTAAAATTGGCTCTTCTTTTATGAAGTCAGGGTCAAAATTACTGACATCCTCTCGGGATTTGATTCTGGGTCGGAAGGGTGGTTCCAGTTGGCGATGGTTCAGTTGGGCCCAGTCAATTTCCTTAAAGAAAGGATGTCTCAAGATAGCATGCTCTCCTCCCTGAGTCAGGCTGCCCAAGCGCATGGTGGGGTTCTTGGTCATGAAAGATTTTAGGATCCCTGTGGCATCTTCATGGAGCCAGGTAGGGTAGACCACCTCATCATTCAGGATGTCCTCAAAGAGGTCGTCTTCATTCTCAGCCTCAAAGGGTGCATGACCACAGAGCATCTCGTAGAGCAACACACCCATGGCCCACCAATCCACAGCAGGCCCATACAGCATTTCCTGGAGGATCTCTGGAGCAATGTAGTCAGGTGTTCCACAGAATGTGGCTGTGGTGACGCCATTACAGATCCCCTCCTTGCACATTCCGAAGTCTGCCAGTTTACAGTGACCCTCATGGTCCAACAGCACATTGTCTAGTTTCAGATCTCGATAGATGATTTCCTTTTCATGTAGGAACATGAGCGCAGAAATGATCTCCGCAGCATAGAAACAAGCCCGTGCCTCATCAAAACGCTGGGATTTCTGAATGTGGAACATCAAGTCTCCGCCATTCACAAACTCCATCACGAAAAACAGGCGGTCAGGGGTCTGGAAGCAGCAAAACAACTGGGTGAGGAAGGGGTGATTGTGGGCCAAAGACAGGATCCTCTTCTCAGTCATGGTGCATTCCACATCGTCATCCTGGAGGATCACCTCCTTCTTCAGCACCTTCACAGTATAGAGGTCTCCTGTTTCTTTTATCCTTGCAAGCATCACCTTCCCAAAACTCCCCTTCCCCAACACTCGGATGAATTCGAAGTTGTCGATACCAAATCGGTTGGAAGAATTAACCCCAACCCCATTTCCTTCTTTGGTGCCATCCTTTCCCTGTCTTCTTAGGGTCGATCTAGAAACGAGTTTCGAGGTTGGAGAGATATTTCCAGGCTGGAGGCCCATCCCTGCCAGGGTCTTGGCAAGCTCTACCGCATTTACCCCACAGTTAGGGGCCACATTTGCTTGACATCGAATATGTACATTCATTTTACATATTTTACACTGAAGTCCTTATCGCATCATGCCCCAGAGCAGGGAGCCACAGTGATGGCAAAACGTTGGCACTTTGTAGTTGTGGATGCTGAATTTGTGTGGGATGTTGATTCCAAACCTCTGTTCAGCAATCTTTGAATCCACTTTGTTGATATTGTTTTGGCAAGTACAGGCTGTAACAATTAGATGATGGCAGCGTTTATGGACGACACAGGTGCACACTTGGCATTGATAACCCTGTTTCCCAAATACTCCCCAGATGAACTCTCTGCAGTGAGAGCAGTAGGTGGGCTGCCTCAGGTATGTGGCCATAAACTTGTGTCCGTTGATCTGGTGGACCCGCCTTCGCATAGCCCTTTGGCGCTTTCTGGTAAAATGTTTGAAGATTCGGTCTCTCTGGAGAGTGGCTTCAGTGAAACTTCCTGTGAGGGTTATTACCACAAATACTTTCCCCTCAGGCTCCAGATCCACCCAGCCCTCGAAGGTGTCCGAGGTGCCAGCCGTGCGCAGCAACTCCTGGAATTGCAGGGTGCAGTTGGCCACAAAGTGGTCGCAACCCAGGGGTGTCTCGTGGAATACGGCCAGCTCAAGGTGGCCGCCGTCGGTGACGTTAGCGCAGAACTCCTCGTTGTACGTGGGTTTGTTGGTCTTCTGCTTGGTGCTGGTCTGGCCCACGCGTACCTGGTCCACGCTCACTGTCAGGTAGGGGTCCAGCAGCTGGTAGCCCTTCTTGAAGAGCGAGTGGCGCAGGGACCAGCGGGTTGGCTGCAGCCCCACCGCCTCGCCAATGCGGACCCTCAAATAGCCATTGAACTTCA